GACTGTGACAGATTTTTTTTTAAATAAATTAAATTAAATATGCATTTTTTGCTATAATAACAATTATTTAATGACATAAGTAAAAAAAATATATAATAAATATGTAATATAGTCCTCAGCAAAATCTCCTCTCTAGCTATTTTTTCTATTCAATTAACATGCTATGGTCATTCAATGGCTTTCCTGAGCTAAATGTAACGTTATGTGGCATAATTGTTCTCCTGCTGTTATATTGACCTCTTTCCTTGGTTTAAAAACACTAATTGGTCGATATTATGTATACTGTCTAGCTGTACCTTACCCTTGCCTTTTGCAATGTGAAAATGAGATAAATAATGGACACAAATGAAAAACATGAATTCGTTTATTTGATGTCATTCATTTATTTATTGTTGCCAAATGGACAGATCTTTTTATAATTTCCTCGTTAGCTAACGTTAGCCTAGCTAGCTTGCCAGGCTATTTTCATAAATAATCTGTAAGATCGTTTGTACCTTCATCTGTGACTGGAGGCCACTGTCTAACATCATCAACCCAACAAGTCATTCTGCCTGGCTGTAGCTGTCATCGAGGGTGCGTTATCACCACAGTCTATGGTTATCACGGAGGTTTGTTTACATACCGCTAACAGCTCAGTAATGGCGTCGCCACAAGATGGCAGCCTACACAGAACGCTCGTCGGATTCGTCTATAAACAAGGCTTCACCGTCTCCTAAGCGCTGTCTTGCTCTCTCTCCCTGGCACATACTAATCAAAATAAATCTACACGTTGGTAAAAGGTCGGAAGACCATAGTTTCAAGTGGAGCATTCGGATATATTTTTTCCTGAATTACCGCTGGGTGTGAATTGTGCTAAAATACCTTATCTTCTCTGAAAAGCGTTCCGCACGTTCAGCTGACATAAACCACACTTTAAATAAACGAAAAAAACGATCCAGTGATTAAATGTTTTCTGTGTTGACCCAAATCTTGTGGGATGTCCTGTCCTAGCTGCCGGGATAATCACACAACGCGAACACATCCGATAATGACACGTCCGATTCGCAAACTAATGACTCATTTGAACCGATTCATTTGAATGAATGGTTAAAACAACTGATATTTCCAGTCCGTCAGTTACTGATCGGATCAGTCAGAGTGAGTAAATGGAGTAAAAAAATTAGGCAGAGTAAAACTAAATATTTTTTTGAAATAATTATAATATATTATTATTGCATATATTTTATTCAATATACAATTAATAAATTTCATTTGTACAGAACTATTTTCATAGGCACCACCACAAAAATATTATTTTAATGTGTGTAAATTGTGTAATATGTGTGTAAATAAAAGTAAAAATGGAAAATAATAGACCAGAAATATGACAAAAATGTTTAAATATAGCCTATATATAAATTAATGTATATGTGACACAAAAAGGCTGTTTTAATTTTATTTTGGCCGGTAAAAAATATGCTTGGCTGGTGGATTTTTTTCATCTACCAGTCCCCGTGGCAGGTGAGCCAAAAAGTTAATTTCGGACCCTGAACTCTGTTATCATGGCCAGCGTGTGCAGAAACTAGTGACACCTAAAAAGCAAGGAAGTAAATCACTGATATAATGCAATTTGATTGATTAAAAAAAACACTAATCCAAATGTATTTAAAAATCATATTTTTCTCTGTTTTGGCCTTCCGTCAAAGCTTTTGAAGACGTTCTCAAGTGCATAAATGTGAAAATGTTGTTTTTGCGTTGTAGTGTGTGGACTGTGAAAACAGGCATTTCAAAACAATGTTTATTTGGTCATGTGACTCATATTGTACCTATAAGGCCCTATGATTTCCAGAATCTAGTCATAAAAATGGAATCTTATTTTAAATTTGGAAATTTTAATTTAACCACACACACACTCACTCTTTCACTGACAAACAAACACACACACTCTCTCTCTCTCCCTTACACACACACATACACTCTCACACACACACACACTCTCACACACACTCTCTCTCTCACACACACTCTCTCTCACTCACTCACACACTCTCTCTCTCACACACACTCTCTCTCACTCACTCACACACACTCTCTCTCACACACACTCTCTCTCTCTCTCTCTTTCACTCACACACACACAAACACACTCTCTCTTTCACTCACACACTCTCTCTCTCACACACACACACTCTCTCTCTCACATGCACACACACTCACACTCTCCCACACAAACACACTCTCTCTTTCACTCACACACACACACTCTCTCTCTCACATGCACACACACTCACACTCTCCCACACACACACACTCTCTCTCTCTTTCACTCACACACACACACACACTCTCTCTCTCTCTCTCTCTACACACACACACACACACACACACACACACTCTCTCTCTCTCTCTCTCTCACACACACACAAACACACTCTCTCTTTCACTCACACACTCTCACATGCACACACACTCACACTCTCTCTCTCTCTTTCACTCACACACACACACACTCTCTCTCTCTCTCACACACAAACACACTCTCTCTCTCACTCACTCTCTCACTCACACACACACTCTCTCTCTCTCTCTCTCTCTCTCTCACACACACACAAACACACTCTCTCTTTCACTCACACACTCTCTCTCTCTCACACACACACACACACACACTCTCACATGCACACACACTCACACTCTCCCACACACACACACAACCATGAAAACAGAGTCCAGAAAATATGAAAAGAAAATGTAAGAATGTGAAAATGTAACCCAATTAAAAAATGTAATTTAATCACTTTCACAGTATGTTCAGGATAAATGTTACCTCATATTACATTCCTGCAAAAGACAACAAAAAATGTACTCGCAAATGCTGTCCTGCGTCAAAATAGATATTTTGCTAAAAAAAAAAAAGATGGAATAGCGTGATACCATTATTATATCTGGTCTACTTCTCATTATGTTTAATGCATGCGCTGTGAGATGATGTTAGCGTTTTCCGATGTTTCAGTGCTAACAAGAAGCTTCAGGATAATGCTTGAAAACACTAGTGTGGATGGAGTGCGTTCAGAAATGTAAACCTTAATCATGTCAAAAGGCTCTGTGTCCTGACACGTTATAGAGGGTTATAGAGACCTGAAGATCTGAGAGATCTGAGCAATCACAGGCATGCTGGGAGAGATCCGGTTTAGCAATCGCTAGAAAATCCAGTCTCACAAGCCCATCCGCATGTTCAGAGAAACAGCAGAGGAAGTGTTATATTAATCCGGTAACTGCAGTCATATTCACAATGACTTCGCCTGTTCATATATTGATAAACGAGAGCTCACTGCATGACAAAGCACATAAAACACTCAAAACCGAACAACACAAAAACTCATTAAGAGTTATTCTGCCTTCATGTGCTATTGGAGGTATCGTAAATGTGTGTTTCCTAGTTAAAAATTTAACATGAACACCCTCTAAAGTCGTATTTACCACTGGGAAACTCAGGGATAATTTTGATACCCGAGTTGGGCGTGTCATAAAATTTAAACCATAAACTTTTTTTAGTTTTTTCCATAACAGATACATCGCCTTGTCGTGTTATTAAAGTAGTGCATATTTATTTACATTTATGAATAATCATTTAAAGCATATTTTATATTTTATACACAACAAAAATAGCCTGTATTTGACCGAAACTCAGCAAGCTGACTATCTAGACTATTTAGAATGTAAATTATGAGACACTAAATATCATTTTGGCTTTAATACGATTTTCCCAGTAACGTTAGGCAAGAATATTCCTCCATGATGCCGGTTCTTTCTGACAGCAAAGCACATGAACAAGACAAACTCATATTCACAACTTTCCGATTTCCGATAGCATGTGAAAGCAGCATTACTATACGGTAAATCTGAATTAATTCTCAGATATGATTTATAAGGAGGTAAATAATAGCAGAGGTAAAATAGAGGTAAATGTGAGGAAAATCACGAGTGTCAGGTGTTTTCTGAGGTAAAATAGAGCTAAATGTGAGTTAAATCACGAGTGTCAGGTGATTTCTGAGGTAAAATAGCTCCTAAATGTGAGTTAAATCACGAGTGTCAGCTGTTTTCTGAGGTAAAATAGAGGTAAATGTGAGTTAAACCACAAGTGCCAGTTGTTTTCTGAGGTAAAATAGAGCTAAATGTGAGTTCAATCACAAGTGTAAGGTGTTTTCTGGGGCAAAATAGAGCTAAATGTGAGTTCAATCACAAGTGTAAGGTGTTTTCTGGGGTAAAATAGAGCTAAATGTGAGTTAAATCACAAGTGTAAGGGGTTTTCTGAGGTAAAATAGAGCTAAATGTGAGTTATAACACAAGTGTCAGATGTTTTCTGAGGTAAAATAGAGCTAAATGTGAGTTAAATCAAGAGTGTCAGGTGTTTTCTGAGGTAAAATAGAGCTAAATGTGAGTTAAATCAAGAGTGTCAGGTGTTTTCTGAGGTAAAAGAGAGCTGAATGTGAGTTAAATCACAAGTGTAAGGTGTTTTCTGAGGTAAAATAGAGCTAAATGTGAGTTAAATCACAAGTGTAAGGTGTTTTCTGAGGTAAAATAGAGCTAAATGTGAGTTATAACACAAGTGTCAGGTGTTTTCTGAGGTAAAAGAGAGCTAAATGTGAGTTAAATCAAGAGTGTCAGGTGTTTTCTGAGGTAAAATAGAGCTAAATGTGAGTTAAATCACAAGTGTAAGGTGTTTTCTGAGGTAAAATAGAGCTAAATGTGAGTTAAATCAAGAGTGTCAGGTGTTTTCTGAGGTAAATGACAGCAGTTGGGGATAACATAGAGGTAAATTCGAGGTAATTTGAGTTAAATCACAGATGTCAGTGAGGTAAATGACATGACAGCTGTTGGCTGAATCTCAGAGATGGGCGTTAAACTCTGAGGTAAACAACAGCAATGAGGTAAAGTTGAGGTAAATCTCAGGCGAGGAGTGTGTTCTGAGGTAAACGACAGCAGACAGGTAAGCATGAGGTATATGAGTTTAATCTCACCTTGGCTTTGCCGGCCTGCAGTTTCCTCTGTCGCTCCTCGTCTTCCATCATCTCTGCGGTTCCTGCGGCTTAAACACGACACACGCGTGTCATTAACGCGCCACACACACACACACACACACGCCTAGCGCTGAACGCGGACCGGTGACATGTGTGTTTGCTTCAGCTCGAACGGCAAATCCTGTGGGTTTTCGGGGTTTCGCTGTGTTTTATTCGGGATTTGCTGTCAGACTCACAGTCGCCGCCATGTTTCTCCACGTAAACACACGAGACTCGCGGCGCGGTGACGTCACCGTGCGCGCACACGCTGCTAAAGCCTGACACTGCAAATATCGCTTTACAAACAAACTGTCAATCGTGCAAATATAAATAATTGATGATTACATTGTATATAATGCCGATCAAGATTTTTGTATGCTCTTGTCGCATTGTACCTAGAGTAGTAGCAAACAGTGATTTGTTTTTAATGACACTGCCGTTAAAATATGAGGAAAATATTTTTTATTGTTTAAATATTTAAAAAATGAGGGAGTAACAAAACGCTAAACTTGGTTAAGGTATTTATCTGATGAAAAAAAAATGCAAACTACAGCTATGGGTTTTATTTTATATGCCAAATAATGGAAAAGGAAAAGCATACATTGACTACAACATAATCATAATAGTTTCTCTCTTGTTCATAATTTCTTTGCTTGACAGCCAGGACAAAAATTAAGCACAATTTGGCATGTTTCACTGCATTATTATCACAATTTTCACAACTTTACACATTTGTAATCATATTTTTCCAGTGGCGAAGGTTTGATTTTGAAATTGGTGGGGACGGGGACATCAATATTTAATATATTTAAAGTTTTGATCGAAAATATTGCTAGGTATATATCAGTGTCACTGGATATTGGTAGGGACACGTCCCTAGCGTCCCTACTAAATTCTACGCCCCTGTATTTTTCCAACTTTTGGCCACCACTGCATTCTGCACTTTTAGGCCGTACAGTGTTGAATCGTATGGTTTCAGGTATTTTGGATTGATTTAGTCTCAAAAGTGGCCCAGGATACACACATGTAACCCTGCTGCACACACATCTCATGTCATAAACACACAGCAAGAGGTCTGTGCTAGTCATTCAAACAGAGACTTCATGCACTATTTCTACATGTTATACATCAGTCCATTACTGTAATTGACCCAGATCAGTCTCTCACACACTCTCTGCTCGTGTGTGTGTGTCAGTGTCAGTTAAGTCAAGTCACCCTTATTTATATAGCGCTTGTGTGTGTGTGTGTGTGTGTGTGTGTGTGTGTGTGTGTGTGTGTGTGTGTGTGTGTGTGTGTGTGTGTGTGTGTGTGTGTGTGGTACCTGCGGCCGCAGCAGGGGATGCTGGTCTAGTCCTGCGGCCCACCGGAGTTGAACAGCTGATGGTTTGGCAGATCCTGAATTCCACCCATCGTCTCTTGGACATCCTTCACTTCGGCTCCACCTGATGCTCTGATGATCAGACCTGAGGCTCAGAGCAACACTGAACACTCACCGCTGAATTATTCATAACTGTGGAGACGGGATCAGGTTCAGACACTCACACCCGCAAACTAACCCACTGAAGAAGACAATACACTGAGTAGAGTAGAGTAGAGTAGAGTAGAGTAGAGTAGAGTAGAGTAGAGTAGAGTAGAGTAGAGGAGAGTAGAGGAGAGTAGAGTAGAGTAGAGGAGAGTAGAGGAGAGGAGAGTAAAGGAGAGTAGAGGAGAGTAGAGTAGAGTAGAGTAGAGTAGAGTAGAGTAGAGTAGAGTAGAGTGGAGTGGAGTGGAGTAGAGTAGATTAGAATAGAGTATAGTGGTGTAGAGTAGAGTAGAGGGGAGTGGAGTAGAGTAGAGTGGAGTGGAGTGGAGTGGAGTGGAGTAGAGTAGAGGGGAGGGGAGTAGAGTAGAGTGGAGTGGAGTAGAGTAGAGTAGAGGGGAGGGGAGTAGAGTAGAGTAGAGTAGAGTAGAGTAGAGTAGAGTAGAGTAGAGTGGAGTGGAGTGGAGTAGAGTAGATTAGAATAGAGTATAGTGGTGTAGAGTAGAGTAGAGGGGAGTGGAGTAGAGTAGAGTGGAGTGGAGTGGAGTGGAGTGGAGTAGAGTAGAGGGGAGGGGAGTGGAGTAGAGTAGAGTGGAGTGGAGTGGAGTGGAGTAGAGTAGAGGGGAGGGGAGTAGAGTGGAGTGGAGGGGAGTAGAGTAGAGGGGAGGGGAGTAGAGTGGAGTGGAGTGGAGTGGAGTGGAGTGGAGTGGAGTGGAGTGGAGTGGAGTAGAGTAGAGTAGAGGAGAGTAGAGTAGAGTAGAGTAGAGTAGAGTAGAGTAGAGTAGAGTAGAGTAGAGTAGAGTAGAGGAGAGTAGAGGAGAGGAGAGTAAAGGAGAGTAGAGGAGAGTAGAGTAGAGTAGAGTAGAGTAGAGTAGAGTAGAGTAGAGTAGAGTAGAGTAGAGTGGAGTGGAGTGGAGTAGAGTAGATTAGAATAGAGTATAG